AATGGCGGGCCTCTGGAAGGGGATTGGGGCTTTCGCCCTCCTCCTTGGCTGCCAGATGCAGACAGTATCTGGCACAGACACACAGCAACAACTTGGTCTGTCCCACAGAAAACGTGACCGTGAAGCTGCCCCGTGCAGGGAGGTGGAGAGGGCAGAGGACTTACCTGAGGTGGTTCCTCCCCCCAGCTTGGAGCCTGTCTCGCCACTGGAGGACCGGTAGGCATCATCCTTCGAGGCCGTCCCGTCTGAATCCCTGTCATCCAAGAAGCTGCCATCCTGCGAGCCCCTCAGAGCGTCCGCCTCGTCCCCGTTATCTTCCTCATCACTGCAGCCCTTGGGCTGCACCATGTAAACCCCTTCAGGGGGCACCTCCGCGCTCTCGGCGCCCTTACATTCCTTGCCTTCCACTCGCCCCAGCAAGGGCTCCTCGTTATATTCCCCGTTCACCCACTTCTCAATCACCTCCCTCCTTTTGTCCTCCTCGATCTTCTGCACGCGGCTGAGTCCATCTGAAAACTCCGTCCCCAGCTCCTTGGTCCCAGGCTGAGGCAGGTCCTTGTTGCTGCTCTCCCGCTGCGGCTCGCGCCTGCTCGGCTCCCCCGTGGTCGAAGACGACCTGGCGGCTCAGCTTGGCACAGATTGCATTTAGCTTCAGGCCGCCTTTGCGCTTGGCAGCCATTGTGGGTTTTCCTGAGGCTGCGTCAGTGCATATAGTTCTTTCAGCTGGAAAGAGAGAGGGGAAAGAAGCAAGGAAGGGCATTAGTGGGATCAGACAACTCAAACCCAAACAGCAAACGGCCGGTCCCAACCCAATGTCATCCTCTGAAAGCTGGGACTGCCATCTGTTTCCTAAGCTCTGAGTGGAGGCCCAGCCAGGAGAGCCCGGTGAGAGGCGTGCTCTGGACCTGCTGGCACCAAAGGCTGCCACTGGCCTCAAGAAAGAGGCACCTATTTATGCTGGGACTGAACTGGGTTGAAAAGGCCCCAAACATCTCAGGCAGGTGAACGTGGTACGGACCAGCCTTTGCTCCTGGCTCAGGCAGGATATGAAGTCTGTTAAAAGCCTGACTTGCTCTCTCCTTCAGACCACAGCACCACCTGCTTTTAGGTCCCCAGCTCCATCCCAGACGTGTCAGCTGCCAAAACCACACCAGCCAGTAACTGCACCCAAGCACCTGTAGCAGGTAGAACAGCTTCCCAAGCCTAACCCTAGGGACAGTGAGGAATTCACTTAATGGGGTTTGCTCATAGTCTCAGAGAAGAGAACCAGTATGCACCAGAAAGAACCAGTACAGAAGACAGGAGCCCTGGCAAGTGCATGTGCTGGAGCACCAGACTGGTGCGTGGCAGTCGTATGGGAGAAAATCGCCTTGGGTTGGTATCAGTTGATCAGGCCCCTTTGCCTGCTCGCTCGCTCGCTCGCTCTCGCACACACAGGAAATTCTGCTCTCACACTTCCCAGCACAATCAGCTAATTAGTGTGGGTTTGTTATTTTAATGTCGTTTATTCATATGTGACAGCTAGTAAAGGAGGGGTAAGAGAAAGTGGGGGGAGAAAGGAAGAAGGTAAGGTCTTAACTTCAAGGTCACAGAGAATCTTGAACTAAATGGTCCCTATCAGAGTCACTTGCATAATTATTGCACCAACAATTAACACGATTCAATCGCAAATAAAAGCAAAAAACTGATTCTAAAGCAGCTGCATTGTCTCATTTCCCTCTTTATTTATGATACCTCTGAGAGACACCCAGACCAAGAAGGGTTAAAGGTCCCAAGGCAAGAAACGTGCACACAGCCTGGCTCTTCCCCCAGTGCCGAGGCAGCCCCTGCTCTGCGTGCCAGGCCTCGGGAAGAGCACCCGATAAAACACTTGCCGGACACACACGCCACTGGAGTTACCGTGAGGACATTGCTGGGGGTCCCTCCAAAATGTGCTCTTGGACTTTATGTCGTGCTGAAAGCGGGGCCCATCACACGGAGAGCAAACAGAAACCGTCTCCAGACCTTGAATGGTGAGAACGGGTTCCTCCACTGCGCAGGAGTCCCTCGTGGCAGCTCAGCCCACACCTCCCTGTCACCAGCACAGAGGTGCTGCTCCACAGAAGCACAGTGAGATTAATCAGACCCCCTACAATGCATCCAGAAGCCATCGTGACAGCCCCTAATCCCATAACATGACAGCCCAATACAAACAGACTGAAACTTTAGACCTGCTGTCCAAGAGCCAGAGAGTGGCTGCTTAGCGTAAACTCCTGACAGCTTCAGACATGCTTCCCTGTCAAGGACTGCAAGAAAAATAACCCCCCGACAAATATATCAGCCCCCCACACAAAGGGAGGCAGAATGTACTCCTCCACTTTCCAAATGCACACCCCCCCCGGCACTAACACCTACGTGCAATCATGCTTTCATGAAGGGAAAGCACACGTTGCCCCCAAACACGTACCTCCCCATCTAGAAATTATAGCTGTTCAAGAGCTGCGTGTATGCGCTGGCACGCTCCATAAACGTAGTCATACACATACGGGTTAAAAAGTCCCATCTCCCCAAAATACATTCCTGTACGTTTCCCCACGCATTTCCCTCTCACACATTCCCCCAACACACGCACACAGTCCTCACGCATACAGATGGGCACAGGCAGACGCCCGGGAAGCTGCAAAAGTCTCTGCGTGCTGGCACCTTCCCTTCCCATCACATTCCCACTCTATTTAGGGCAGAAA